TCTGTCTGAGGTGAACACCTGCCAGATGATTCCTACTTGAAATAGTAAGGGCTGTTGAAAAATAAAAGATGGGTCTAGCTGCCATTAGGAGAGTCCAGGGGAGGAGCACCTAACTCAGCCAGGCCGGTGCCTCAGGTGATGAATCTGCGAAACTAAGAAACAAAAAGAGTGGAGGAAGGTAGGTGAATATTCCAGCTACCCCGTGGCCTGATGTGCTCAGGGGGAATATGAGAGCGCGTGATAATGTTGGGGAATAAAATTGCATTCAGTCGGATCCACTGAATGACACCAATGGAGAAGGAGATTGTGAATTCGATGTAGGCAAGAACTGGGTTCTACTCCCACCCCTTTAGGCAGAATAGAGTGTATCAGAGGTTCAGTGGCAGAATCTGTGCCTTCCCTTCAGGAGACCTCGATCAGAATTCCAGCCAATGTATCTCTTCCAGTAGAGACTCACATGTTGCTGTGATGCTGATGAGGTTGTAGTGAGCTTCTAGATTTATATGCACAGGAAGAAAGGGCTAGCCATCCACGTTTAAAAATTCAAAATTGGCCAGTGGAAATCCTATGTCTGCAACTGGGAATGATGCAGGTCACGGCACTATTTTGTTTCGTTGCCCATGAGGTAACCGTGAGGACTGACCCAAAGGCAGTTCACAACAACAATGTATAATGATAATCAGTATATTTTGTGGATTAATTTACCTACCTAGCTAATCACTTACCTAATTACAGTATCATTGACTTATACTCCCTGAGTATAAGCATTGTCTGAGATTTTTCAGTTATATTTGCCAGAAGGATATGTGGACGTAAGATGTGCATTAAATCACCACCTCCAAGCTGGTTGGCCTGTGCTATCCCTGCTGCCTATATACGCATCGGTCAACCCTCCACCACCCCTTCTGAGAAGACAATCTGCTTGAAGCAAGCAGCAGCAGTGTGTTCAAGGAGGACGTGGGCTCCTCACCCTGGCCTGTGCCATGAACTGTGGCCGATCTTTACTCGGCCTTTTTTCTTTTCATGTGAATGGTTTAGAGCTGGGTATGAACCCAGCTCAGGATTAGAACCGTGTGAAGGAGAATCTTCTGGGGGATTTTAGGATTGAAAAAGATAAATCAAAAACCCAAAATCTCTCTTCTACTTTTGGACATTGTTATTATATTAAGATATGATCTTAGGTCTTTGGTAACATTGTTATGACACTGAAACCAACTGCATATAACTGCCTACCTGTAGACTGCAGGATAATACCTGGTCATTTATTGTATTTTTAAGATGTTTTTATTAATAATTGCAGGGGGGGGGGCTCTTACAAATCTTATGACAATCCATCACTCAGTTTCATTAAGTGCACTTGTATATATGTTGCCATCAACATTTCCCAAACAGTTTCTTTTTACTTGAACCCTTGGTATCAGCTCTATTTTTTCCCCTCCCTCCCCCACCCTTCCACCCTCCTAAATCCTCGATCAATTATCTATTACTGTTATTATTTCGTGTCTTACACTGTCAGTTATCTCCCTTCACCAATATTACTGTTATTCGTCGCCCTGGGGGTGGGGTATATATGTCCAACCTTGTGATGGGTTCCCCTTTTCTACCCTTTCCCTACCCTCATGATATCACCACTCCCACTACTATTCCTGAGGGTTTTATCTGTCCCGAATGCCATGTGTCCAGAGCTTTTATCTGTATCAATGTGTGTACTCTGGTCTAGCCAGATTTGTAAGGTAGAACTGGGTCATGGTAGTCAGGGAGGAAGCATTCAGGAATAAGAGTAATGGTGCTACACTGCACCCTGGTTGATTTGTCCCATCCTTGTAACCCTTCTGTGGGGGATGTTCAATTGTCTAAAGATGGATTTTGGGTCTCCACTCCCATCCCCCTCAGTCACATCGATATAATTGTTTGTTTTGGATCTTTTGATACCTGATACCCCTCATGATCACATAGGCTGGTGTTCTTCTTCCATGTGGGCTTATAACTTCTAGCCTTTAAGACCCCAGACACTATCTTTTGATAGCTGGGTACCATCCACTTTCTTCATTACATTTGCTTATGTACCCATTTTGTCTTTAGTGATCATGTTGGGAAGGTGAATATCAAAGATTGCCAGGTTATTAGAGCAAAGTGTTCTTGTGTTTTGGGAGGCCCAAAGTCTGCTACCTTAATACTTAACATATAAATATATATACATTGGCCTCTATCCCTTTCATTATAAATGAATATATTTATATATATGCATGCCTATAGCTATACCTCTATAAATAGCTTTTGCTTCCTGCTTCTTTCCTCTATTTCCTTTCCCCTTCCTCCTGTCCCATTATCATGCTCATCCTCCACTAGACTCTCAGTAATTCATCTCAAATACATTGCATTTGATCAACCCCCCACCAGATCTCCTCACTATCAATTTTAGATCTCTTGTTGTTCCCCCATCCCTAAGTTTGTTGGCTCCCCACTACCCCTTCCTTCTGCCCTGGGACCACCAGTTCCATTTTTTTCTCCTCAGGATTGTTTGTCCTGCCTGTTTTATATAGATAGACATAGGGTGAAAGGACAAAAAAAAAAAAAGATAGATCCAGGTCTGTCTGCTGACCCTTATGAGTGTTTTCCAGTTGGGTCTGATGAAGTGCCAAGCCCTGTCCCTGGAGACAGAAGTCTATTTTCAGGATTCTTTGGGGACTTGATTACTTTGCTCCCCTTGCTGCCCTGTTGTGCTCCCTTTGTGTTGTACCCCACTGTACATGGGGCAGAATTACCTGGCATTTATAGCATGCATTTTTAGTTGGTAGTGGGTTACTGAATTCAGGTGTGATGGAGAAAGGAAGCATATCATAGGCCTGTGTGACCCTTTTCCAAGAACTATAGTCTTAATAAGTATGAAGTAAACTGATTTCACAAGCAAGTTATGGGGCCAGCCATCAAGATAATCCTGCTATCCCATGGAAATTAAGCTACAG